CTCCATGTGGCAGTTACATATCTATTGGCAACTTGAGCACAGGGGTGGAATCTGTCAATCAGGCTAGAGCTTGGTGATCTCATTTGGAGGTGCAATGGAGATAAATAACTCACTAGAGGCCAGACACTCTCTCTGTGAGACATTCCTGATGACAAACCAATGGAGCTATACTGATGGAGCCAGAGCCCTGGAGCTGGAGGAGCCACGTGGAGACCCACACCAGCGCTGAGATGCTTCCACTGCCACTGGATCTACAAGACTTTCCACCCACTGGCCTGTGATCTTCCTGCATTTGGCATCATTGCATGTATTGCTTTAGTCTGAAGAAGAACTTATGGACTGGTATTGGGCATATGGGCTAATATCAGACTTATGGACTTGATCTGGACTGGCTGGGATGTTCTCCTATTATACAATTCTCTTTGATATAAAACTCTCTCTTACACATATAAGAATTTCTCTGCATTTGTTTCTCTAGTTAACCTGGGCTAACACACTCCATTACACCTCTGATTATTTCCTTAGGAATCCTGAAAATAGACTTCTGACTTGGGGGACCTCATCAGACTTGATTGGAAAATAAACATAAGGTTCAGCAGATAGACCTGGAACTATCTATTGTGTTTTTTTCTTGTTTTGTTTTGTTTGTTTGTTTTCCTTTTTCTTTTGCCCTATGTATACCTAAGTAAGATAGGCAGGACAAACAATCCTGAGGAGAAAACAATGGGATTGGCAGTTGCAGGTGGGCACATGGGAAAGGAGGGGGAGGGGAGGAGAAGCAGGGAGCCAACAAACTCCCCGGGATAATGGAACAACAAAAGATCTAAAATTGAAGGCAAGGAGGGCATATAATGCCTGGTGGGGTTTGAACAAGTGCAATGTATCCACGAGGAATTACTGAGAGCCGAATGGAGGGTTAACACAATAGTGGGACAGGAGCAAGGTGAAAGGAAATAGAAGAAAGAAATAGGAGGCAAAAGCTATTTATAGAGGTATAGCTAGAGGCATGTATATATGTAAATATACTAATTTATATTGAAAGGGATAGAGTCCAATGTACATATATTTATATATTAAATATTAAGATAGCAGGCAGACTTTGGACCTCTACTCAAGGGTTCCCTAACACAAGAACACTTTGTTCTGATAACCTGACACTCTTTGATACTCACCTTCCCGACATGATCACTGATGATAAAATGGGTGCATAATCAAATGTGGTGATGGTGCCTGGCTATCCAAAGATGTAGCATCTAGGGTCTTAAAGGCTTGAAGTTAAACAATCAGCCATCCAGCAAACAAGAAAATAAGCCCATGTAGAAGAAGCACACCAGTCTGTGTGATCATGAGGTGTCGACGGGATCAGATATCAGGTATCAAAAGATTCAAAACAAGCAACTATATTAATGCGAACAAGGGGGTTTGGAGTAGAGACCCAAAGCCCATCTGTAGACAATTAGTAATGCCTCCACAGAAGGGTTATAAGGAAAGGATGATTCAACCAATTTGCAGTATAGCACTGACAAAACACACATCATTCCTCTAGTTCCTGAATGATTCTTCCCCCAAACTACCATGGCCCAGTTCTACCTTACAAATCTGGCTAGATCAGAGAATACACATTGGTACAGATAAGGTCTCTCAACACATGGGGTTCAGGACAGATAAACCCCTCAGGAACAGTAGTGGGAGTAGTGTCATCATGAGGGTAGGGGAATGGTTGGGGAGGGGGAAGGGGAGAAAGGGGGAAGCCATCACAAGGTTGGATATATATCTTCCCCCGCCCCCGAAGGGGACAAATAACAGAAATGTAGGTGAAGGGAGACAATGCACAGTGTAAGATATGAAATAATAATAACAATCTATAATTGATCAAGGATTCACGAAGGTGGGAGGGTAGAGAAGGGCAGGGGCTAAAAAGAGGAGCTTATACCAAGGGCTGAAGTAGAAAATGTCTTGGAAATGATGATGGCAATATATGTACAAATATGCTTGATGCAATTGATGTGTAGAATGGTATAAGAGCTGTAACAGCCCCCAATAAAATGATTTTTAAAATAACAAATAAATAAATCTATCTCTTACACACATGAGTGTCTCTGGATTTGTTTCTCTAGTCAACCCGGACTAACACACTCCATTACACCTCTGATTATATTCTTAGAATAATTTTCTAGGAGTCATAAAACTGGTTCAAAGGAATGAAAGCAATGATTTTAAGGCTCTGGTTACATACTCAATAGTGTTTTCTGAGGTTATAATAAAAAGCATAATCCAATCCCATCCCAGCATGACATGAGGTGCATTTTACTTGGCGGATTGCACCTGGTCTCTGTAATCAGAAACCCCTACCCATTTCACAACTTTCTAATAACAGGAGACAATGTTTTTAAAGTGATTTTGTATGCCGTAATTGGCACAAGAGAAACAGTGATGAATTTTCTTACTTTGGCCCAAGATTTCCCAGAAATCAGGAAGTTTTTTGTTTAGGTTAAGGTCACATATCCCTCTGACCTTGCTAGCCTGGAGGAATTCCTTTGCTTCTGGATGATGAAGCGGTTAACAACTGCGAACAGGCGGCCAGCCCCGCCTGCTCTGTAAACACTAAGTGTCCCAGTGCTTGCTTTATGGACCCATAGTCACTGAGAAACTCATGGACTAGAGATGCTGTCAAAGTAAAAACTTAAAGCTTTAAAAATAATATCTCCTATTGTACTTTCAGATGTTAAGCAGTGAAAGTAACACTCCTTACAGAAAGGGCTGAAAGGTATAAAGAAGAAAGTACAAAATCATTAGAAATGCCCTCTTACAGAAGCAGCCCCTTGGGACGGGGAACATAGCAATGACGGTGAGATAACCCCCCTCGAGGGCAACAAACACCAGGATTGTCGGTGAAGGGATAGAAGGGGCGGTGTAAGATATGTATAAATCATAATACATAACACATCAATGGTTCTCAGGGGTGGCAGGGTGGGGGAAGGAGGGAAAAAAGAAGAGCTGATATCAAAGAGCTCAAGAAGAAAGATCATGTTTAGAAATTGCTGATGCCAACAATTGTACATGTCCGTTTGAGATCATGGATGTATGGATTGTTATAATATATGTAAGAGCCCCCAATAAAATGAGTTATTAAATTTTAAAAATAAATAAATATAAACTTTAAAAAAAAGAATGAGTTCCTTTGATCACATGTGGGTGGCCTCCATTCCAATTTTATTCACATACCACTTTATATATAAATAGATGCTTATATGAAAACATACGTTTCTATATAAGTAAATAAGTTCTGCCACATAGTGCACACATGCTCTGTGCCTGTTCAGTGAAAAAGCTTTATAAACATATTGGTAATATAAAGGTATACTTCAGGATACGTATGTTTTATATAATACATTTATATATACAAGTACTCAGCTATGAATAAAGATTTGATACATAAATATTAGATGGATCCACATGAATATATGTGATCATAGAATAAAAAGTCTATAATATTCTTTATTACCTCATTTTTCTACAAGACTATGAAGGAATTGCTACTATTATCATCTCCATTTAATGAGCTTAAAGGAGGTTCAGTTAAGTAACCAAGCTATCAAGGGATCCACCCTGTCAGGGTTCAGATTTAAGCCCTCACGCAGGCCCTCTAGAGACTGAGTTTTAAGTCTAACAGCAATTGGACGCCGTTGAAGAAATTTTAGGAAGGAAAACAAGGAGCCATTATGAGTTTAAAGATTAAGATGACGTAATTTTCTAAAGACCACCCTACCCCACCCCAGCAACAAAAACAACCCGGAGTTCTTAACCCATCCACACTAGTAGAAAGCGGGGCAGAATGTCACTAGCTAAACCAGTAAATGCTAGAATCCGGATTAAAACCTCAGCATCTCGGTCTTACCAATCACATACCACAATTAACAGTAGGGGGGGGCGGGGGATCTCATCTTATTGCAAACAATCCTAAACACCAAGATCCTGGTAGTTTCCTCACCCTTCAGTAACAGGAATATCTAGCTCAAGACCAATAAACAACCTCTGATCACTTTCTGAGAGAAAAGTCTGCATCTCACTCAGCGCTGGGGAGGAATTGAAAGCTGTGTTGAGGCCCGCGCTCCCAATGGTCACTGCTCTCTGCAGTGCGGCTGAATGACTTCCCCTGAAACTGCCTGACATCCACTCTGTGCACAAACCCTGCCCACAACGGGGACCCCACAGCAAGAGCTTCATACAACTCAAGAAGCATGTTCCCACTTCCGGAAAACATATAACATGAGTCACACAATTTTCAAACAAGATGAAATTCATAACTGCACCTGCACATCCTCAACCGCCGGAGTATAGCTCTGTTACCATGAGATTATGCTCAGTCTTGTCCTGCAGCTTTTTCATTTCTTTTTAAAAATTGTAATTACTAGGAAGGTGGGAGCCCTGGTAGTGTAGTGGTTCCGTGTTTGGAAGCTAGCCAAAAGGTCAGCAGTTCAAAACCACCAGCCACTCCTTGGGAGAAAGGGTGGGCTTTGGACTCCAGTACACAGTTATGTTCTTGGGGCAGTTCGACCCTGCCTTATTGGATCCTTATGAGTTGGCATCAACTACTCTAGGTGAATATACTAGGAATGTGTGTGTGAGATAGACAAACAGACAGAGAATCGGTACATCGGGGCAGTGGCAAACCCCCTTGGGATTCCAATTTTTGGTGTCTATTCTTTGATAAGTAAGGTCAGAATGAGGGTGAGCCATCCTCATCCATACAGTTGTACTTGGAACATTCCAGAAACTGTCAGTACTGCACCCATTGAATCTAGAGGAGTCTCAAAATCTTGACCTTGGGAGACTCTTACGAAGGCTCTCGGAGAGATTTCAAACTCCCACAGCTCACCCTCCTGGTTTCCCCACATTCACACACACACAAGCAAGGATAGGCTGCACGGCTCTAAGGCCCACCCTCAGCAGTCTAGAAAACTCTAGAAGCTTCTCCCAACAGGCCCAGCTGAACTTACCAAAGAGACAAATCCGGGAGCCCTCACTATGCAGTGCTGCCTCCCCAGCTGCAGTCACCAAGTGTGCCTCTGAGAAAAAGACACAGCTCTCTGCTTCCGGGTTGAGTCACAGAGGCTGAATCGGAAGAGGGCTGGCCTCTGAGCAGGATGAGCAGACATGCTTTTTTTCAAGGGCTTCCGGGGAAGGGCCAGTGCGCAGGACACGGGCCCAATGGGCCCGGCACAGGCCTGTGGGCAGGGGACCTGCTCCAGTGAGGTGTGGCAAGCACCTTAGCCGGGTGCCTTTGGGGCTGCATTTACATATCTCCAAACGAGAGACTCGGACTCTCGTGGTTAACTAAGAAGCCTGCTTTCCGTACTTCAAGATCTTACACTCTTCTTCGTTCATCAAGGAGACTTTAATGTGCTCGTTCAATAAACATTGACTGAGTCTTTTAAGAGACCTTGTGGAGTCCAAGTGGTGCAGAGAGTGAAGCTTTTCCCTGGAAAGGCAAGGTAGTCAGTCACTAGTCACAGCAAACTCTCGCAGGGGTGCCTCTGGGGAAAAAACGCCTGCCGAGCTGGCTGAAGAAAGTGCACGCCCTTGCAAACCCTGGGGAGCACAGTCCTCGCTGGCACCCACCCCCACCCACCCCCGTGATGGGAATCAAGTCAGCGCCAGCTGTTTTAACTTTTTTGGGTAGAAGTCTTGATATCTGAAAACTGTGGGGTCCTCCCCAAGCTTCTCAGGGGGTTGTTCACACTCACGGCTGAACAGTTTCCCCCATATCTATTCACAGCCATTTCCTCAATAAAAGTGCCCCCCTCCATGGCCCTAACTCATGGCTATCGAGCAGGCGCTAACTCATAGCGCCCCTCTGCAGCAGGGTAGGATTGCTCCAGTGAGTTTCCACGGCCTTTGTCTTTTCCCAAAGGAGAAAGTCTCATCTTTGTCCCATGGATCAACTGGGGGGGTTCTTACTGCTGACCTGGTGGTTCGCAGCCCACCACCCCACCAGGGCTCCTTCCAGGGCCCTAGGGCCATCAGATGCCACCCTCAGCAGCCTGCACCACTCAGAATCCAAGGCCTGTCCGATGAAAGACCAGCAGTCTTCACAACGGCCTGGGGGACATGACCCTGATGAACACCACAGAGAAACGTGTATGCCCGCATGCCACAAGCCGATGGCAGGCTTTCGGGTGCTGAAAGCACAGAAAGAAAAGTAGACAGGGCTCTTCTTTGAAACTGCCTTTTGTCTTTCTTCAAATGGAATGTCGGCTGCCAGCGAGCAGGGACCCCCTCCTACAGGTGAGGGGATGAAATGAGGTGTTTGAAAGCACTGATTCGCGTATAGAAAGGGCCCTCCGAGTGTAAAGGGCGGAGGATTGGCTGTTCACTGCAAAGTCAGAGGTTTGAACCCACCAGGCACCCTGAGGGAGAAAGATAAGCTGTCTGCAGCCGTAAAGATGTACAAACTTGCAAATCCTAGTGAGCAGTCACTATAAGTATATGACAGAAGGTTGGTTTGGGCTTATCCACCGGTAGCGGCTCCTAAGCGGTACAAAGAGTTTGCACTCGACCGCTAAGCAAAAGGTTGGCAGCTTGCATCTTCCTAGAGGCCCTCATGTCTGCTCCTGACCCTGGTGACTTAGTGGGTGAACAGTCTCCCTATCAACAAGTCCATTCTGATTCCTAGCAACCCCATAGGGCAGGGTGGAGTGCCTTTGTGGGTTTCTGAGACTTTAAATCTTTACGAAAGTAGAAAGTCTCCTCTTTTTCTGTTGGTGAGTTCGAGCTGCTGAACGTTCTGTTAGCGGTTCGGTGCATCATCTGTTATCTGGAAGGAGGAGTGCTTGGGCAGGGGCACCATGTAAAAAGGACTTGGTAAAGAGGAGGGGCGGTGACAAACAGGAGGACATGCAGTGAGACTGACATGGTGGCGGCAACAATGGCTCAGACATAATTGTGAGGCTGGCGCAGGACCGGACCGTGTTTCCTTCTGTTGTACACAGGGTCACTATGAATTGGAGCCCACCGAACACCAAGCCCTGGGGCTGTCAGGTAAGGTTGGTGGTTCAAAGCCACCACCGGAGAATGTTAAGGTTATATGTTCCCATAAAGATTACAGCCTCGGAAATCCTATGAGTCAGAATTGACTTGATAATAAGTTTTTTCTTAGGGGTTCTGTTGAAGAAACCCCTGTGCTTAAAATTACAGCCAAGAAAAATCTATGTAGCATGAGTCAGAATCGACTTGACAGCAACACGGAGCAGATCATTCACCTGTGGCGCCTGGAGAAGGCTAGGCAAACGTGATCCCTGAACACCGATGCCTGGGCTTGCCCTTGACTCTGGCCAGTAAGTGCGGAGGGAGGACATACAGCACAAAGCCTGCTGGTGAGTGCTAACTCCTAACCCCAGGAAGGCTCCCCAACTCTTCTTAATGCTTCCCCGGCAGCCTGAGCTGCCCCATCCCTGCATTTCTCCCTGATTTCTGTCCCAGGTGATCAGCTTCCTGAAGGCACAAACTGCATCTTTCATGTTTCTCTGCGGGACCTGCCACAAAGAAAAGAGCAATATCTGCACTATTCAGATCTCTTCCGCCAACCAAGAAGGGCAATGGACACAAGCACATTGCTTCCTCCTGGGATGATTGATAGCTAAAGGGAAGGAGCCCTGGTGGCACAGAGGGTTACACGCTGGACTGCTAGCCTCGAGGCCAGTGGTTCAAACCCACCAGCTGCTCAGAGGGAGAAAGTTGAGGCTCTCTGCTCCTGTAAAGATGTAGAGCCTTGGAAACTCTATGGGTTGGAATCAAGTCCATGGCAGGAGGTGGGCTTGAATGACCTAAGTAAATGAAGTGATGCACAAATGTATTAGGCATTTAAGAAATCCAAAATAAAGCAACAAGATACCATCAGACTGGCCAAGGTTTGAAAGTGGATTGAGCCAAGAATCGATGGGCCAAGGAGCAAATGGAAGCTTCATGAGAGTCAACTGGAAGTACTTGGTCTGGTGCTGGGTCCACATCCCAGACAAATACTCATTTTTTCCAGGAAATTATCCATTTTATTAGAGTTTACAATATTGTTGCGATAAAGTATTTTTATATCGTTTTATTGAGACATAATCCAACATCATACAATTAAATAGTGCAAGCATATGAAGGGCTGTACAATCATTACCACAATTAATTTTAGAACATTTTCTTTTTCCTTGGATTCCTTGTTATTGACTCCCCATTCCCACCCTGCCCCAACCTCCCCTGCTGCACCTGTCTCTGTAGATTCATAGATGTACCCGAAACTGTACAAAAATACAAAACAAAGAGTCCAGAAAGCTGACTCCAATCACAAAATAAAATAGAGGAAACCCCCAGTCGGGAAGAAAGCATAAAATATTAAACACTAGAACAACTTTAAAGTGGATCAAAAGGGAGATCAAATGACAAGGTGTGAGATCTGTCATAATCTACTTTCCAAATTGTTCTGCATGACAGCAAGGTTATTCACATCCCTGGTCTGGGTTCAGAAGGGATTCACCCAAGACCTTAATCCATATGTATTTCCCCTCCACTTTTTTGTTAATTAACTGCTAGCACTTTTAGATGTAGCAAAAAGATCAAATCAGATGTTACACCACCATCATCACTCCCCCAGGGGGGGCGAACAACAGAAAGATATGAAAAAATATATATATCATTTATCAAGGGTTCATGAGGGTGGGAGGGTAGGGAAGGGAGGGAAAAAAGAGGAGCTGATAATAAGGGTTCAAGTAGAAAGATCATGTTTTGAAAATGATGATGACAACATATGTCCAAGTTTGCTTGATAGAATTGATTTATGGATTATTATAATATCTGTAAGAGCCCCCAATAAAATGATCTAAATTTCAAAAAATCAGATGTTACATTTTAATCTACTATAATTGTCTCTACTGGATGACCAGGCTATGGTCAGAAGGAAATCACCTGAGGTTTAATCTATGTGTAGATCTTGACAATGAATTTGGGGTTTCCACTGTCACACACAGCCCTTTGCCAACCAGGAGTTTACAATTTAAATTCTGACATCATTTCTTCCTGCAGATCTGTATTATATTATTTACAATCCTTGGGTCATACCGGCTGGTATACTTCCTCCATGAGGACTTAGTGGTTGCTCAGTTAGATGGTTGCTTGTTTGAAGACAAGCCTTTAAGACCCCAAAGACTGTTCTTTTGATAATAGCAGAGGGTCATCTAGTTCACAGACAAATTCTTCTGTAGATCAGCCGGTTGGGACAGATTGTCCAATAGCAATGTAAGTATGGGCTTGTGCTTACTGACTCACTCTTTGTCATGAACACCTGTCCCTGTCAGGGATTATAAACTTGGAAAGAAAGACTGTCGGAAGGTGCTGAGGGAGAGAGAAATGCCAGTCATCCCTAGAAATAGAATCTCTGATGGGAAGTGGAAATGTGAAATTGTTCACTCCAGATGAGAAAGTCGTAAGTACAAGTAAACCTGGGTTTGCCCGGTGGACTGGGTAACCCCACATGCCACCCGTGGGATTGTGGACACTGATATAACGGAGATTAGAAACCGAGGGCTAGCAAATTATGAGTTTAAACAGTGTGGAGTGAGGGCGAGCGAGTGGGACGTAAGAAACGGAATGAACAAAATATAACGCACGATGGTACCAACGCCTGGCCATCGTTGATCCCCTGAGTAGGCAGCTGAGTCTTGCCTGCAGCTTACTGGGGGCAGTGGTTTGCACAAACTCCCTTCCGAAACTCTCAATGAGGGCTGGGGAAACAGAGGCACAGAAACACTCACTTCTTTGTCCAAGGCTATATATTTTAAAAAGCATGCACCCACAGAACAGACATGCACTTTCCAAACAGACAGATGCACTCTGAGATACAAATTCAGAGCCTGAGAAGCTGCCTCCGG